GGATTTCTACCATGTTAGCAGTGGGATACTAATCAACCGGGGTCAGAGTGTCCATATACTACATGGTGCCCACGCCCGAGGTTGTACTGGTGATTTTAAGGGGAGATTGAAGGGATCCTGCTTGGAGCATCAACCGCAAAGAACGACACAAGAAAAACGGAATTCCCACTTACGGCTTTCTTTCTGAAGATCTTTTGTCAGCTCAACAGGGTCAAAACCATGGCACTGTTGGCTGATTTATTTCTGAAAACAGACTAACGTCACTCACAATGCACTGAAAATGTCATTCTCTAAGAATTACACACACTGTACGCGAGTCAGGACCTGAATGGCTTTATAGCAGCACTTGTTTCATCTTGGCATTTTAAAGCACAGCACAATGCCTTCATCCGGCAGCTTGCTCTGCGAACTCCAGAAAACACAGACTGAAATCCCAAAACTGCAAACCTTTTTGCTCCTTTACACAGCATGCTGTGCCCAGACGTCACTTTCTCAACATTGTCTGAAAGCCCTCCGTTGACTCTGAACAAAGATCCCAGTCTTTACACTCATTCCAACTGCTTCAAGGTTGCAAGGGTTAGCAAATCCTTTCAAGTCTTCCACAGAATGAGTTATTTTTAAACTGCTCTAAAACTGCCCGCTTCAAACTCCGCTTTTGAGGCATGCATATAAATATGATATTCTAAAGTCCTGGTACATGTACGCCAAGACTTAGGGGAAACAAGTCGGGAACGAAACTGATTCAAAAGAAATTTAATGCCGTCCATCCTTCGAATAACTGTTTGCGGTACCCGCTGCTACATCTGACACGAACCAGCTAGCCCACACCGGCAAGCTCAGTGGTCGAGTGGTCAAGACGTCTGTACTACCATAGTAAGCAGGAAGTCGTGGGCTCGAATCCCACCCGAGTACGCTTGTGGTTTCTTTTCGCAAGCTTTCGGGGGAAACACTGAGTATACAGTGATACAATAAATGTCAGACAGGGCAAAAAATCCTAAATGAAATTTAATGACGGTTGTAACATGTATGGCATGCCTTAAGGATACCAATTAGCATGTTTATCACCAATATGCATTTAGTGAAGATAAATACATTAATTCGTATTGGCTCAACGTGCAGCAAACTAGAGATCCAAGTTGACAAGTTGTCTTCACTCGTGATTAATTTATTTCATAATTCCACAAAAGAGAGGTCACAGATTATGCACATGTATAGAGGTTACATAAATGTACGGCAGCCGTCTTCCCAGTCAGAGCATTGTTTGGGGGGATATGCACTCACTACTCATGTGTATCCCTATGGATCAAAACACTGACCAGAAAGATGGCTGCCGTGCAAAACCTCTATACAGGTGCACTCATAATAGTCAGGTAGACTATTAGCATGTTGGATAACAAGAATTGTATTTCCATGCAGCTTTACCGCACCTGTTGCATTTTCATGATCAACTTTTTGGCTGCAAATCTCTTTTTGCTTTTCTCAGCCACGTCTTGAACTTCAGCATTTCTGTAAGCATGCAGAAGGAATCAAAGAACTGGCAGTCAATGACACTCAGAGTCACTGTCTTCCTGCACTTTTTTTCACACTGGTGTTTCACACTTTTTTCATAATGCTGAGACAGTTTGGAGGGGGGAAAAAATTTCCACTCTGATCTATAAAGCACAGGCGAAGACCAGAGAACTTCCACTGCGATGCACTCTCGTTCCGGCATCTGCCAGTACGCCTCTGGGAAAGAAAGAAGTTATCGATGATTCTAATGCTGTTAGGAAGCCTTTGCGCAATGTGAATGAACTTTCTGAATGCCCAAGCAGAAGCTGATGTACTTAGGATGTTTTCCTCCGTTGGCTGTCATCTTCCTCTTGGATGAATAAACCCGGACGATATTCGAATGATTTTGTTGTTTTGTGCAAGATGACTTTTCTTGGTTTTAATAACAAGAACATGTATCAGTGCGTTTGCTTTAACAATGCAGAGGAATAAAATATGAGTAAATCTGATAAGACTTGAATTCAAATGCTGGTTAACCGTATGCTGCCGGGTCTAAATTGAAGTTGAATGATGAGCTCTCCGGGGATTTTCAAGATTTTCCATTTTCAAAAATCCTTCAAAAATTCATATCCAGTAATACTGGACATTTACACCCACACAAATGACTGCCTGGTGGCTACTCTAATCTGACAGGCAACATTTATAAACACCCGAGTATTTTAGTCAGGCCTGCCACCTTGTAAAGAGAGCCTAGATTGTGCAGTGTTACGTAATTTTCCCTTGTTCCTGAAACTGGCCCAATGCACTGCTGGGGTCTTTTCAAATGCGGCCAGATTAGCGTGCAGCGGTACTGTATTGCTCAGGCGCCGGAGCGCTTTTGTCCCTGACCGTAATCTGCTCACACTGAATGCCACAAATAGGGGAATAGAGTTTCAAAACAATGACAGTTTACCTTCGCTATTGACAATGGAAAAAATGTTGGCAATTCCCAGCAGCTTGGTTTTTTGTTCCAAGTACGGTCTTTTGTTACAAAGCCCAGCTCCTTTGTCCGATTTCGGGTACCCTGGCTTTGAGTATAAACTGGAGGTCTCCGGTACAGGGAACCTCAGCACGAAGTGGTTACTAAGTAACGGTACTCCAATACTGACTGCTAGTAAATTGAAAACTGCTACTTTCAGAATAAAACTTTCAACACTCAACATTAAACACACGTAGTTGAGCGCAGAGGAAGAGTCTTTCACTATGAATATTTAAGGAATTCATTGAAATGATCGGACCAGGACAGGGGACCTTCTTGCAAAGTTGCCCTGGGTGTGAGGATGCCTCCCCAAAGCAAACCACCGAATCTGTAGCACGCAATAACCTGATTTTCAACATAACCACCGCACCAGTCAAAGCCGCATTTCTGGGCACAGATATTCAAAGTAGTCTTCGTACGCTTTGGGCCTCAAAGAACTAGACCAACTCTCCACGCAGACAGGCGCACGCACTGCGAGCACAAACTGGCAACTCGCTTCTCAAAAAAAAAAAACCCTTTGCTCCAGTTCTCCTCTCAAATTGTCTTTTAATTTCACTGAACGAATCCAAGACATCTCATCAGAAAGCGGCCCGACAGAGCGGAGGGGGAACAAGCGTTTAATGCCCGCTGGCCCCCCGGGAACCAAGCGGCAGACAGCTGTTAAATTCGCTGAGAGAGCCTACATTCCAAACACCCTAGGGTTTTGCATGAGGATGGATGATGGCTTTTTTTCCCCCTTCCCCTCAGTCCTGGACCACAATCCTGCTGAAGCATTGATTAACCCTAGATGCTCTGTGCTACTCACTGACTAACTACTGATTCTAAATTATGGTGGGGGGGGGAGAGATTGGGGGAAAGAGGGGAAGAGTACAAAAAAAGGGTTGCAAACAGCAGGCACTGGAATTTAATGACCGTGGTAAAATGCCTGGAGAATCACTTGATTACGCATCATTACCACGGGGACTTCAGTTTTGGCATTCGGCACAGCCGACAAGCGTTGAAGAATCACAGGTACAGAAGGTGCAATCTCTGAAACAGACATTTGCTGGTTGCTAGGAAAGAACTCACTACCACGTGTACACTTGGAATGTGTAAAGATCTGTGTGTGTTTTGAGGGAAACTCCAGCAAATGGCCATGATAAACAACTGCAGCGATTCGCACTATATTCAGCTTTCCGCGATTTGACCTGAACGGGCCAAACTTTTTTAACTTCACGGCTGACATCTTGAATAAACAAACTCTACAGTTAATCATCATTCTTCACTGTTCAAGTAATACCACTCAACAAAAAAAGAGGCATTTGAGAGCCTTGTAAATGCCCTCATTATCATACACACACACACGCACAAATTTAATGTTGGGCTTTGCGCGCCCAGATCCCGTAGTAAACATCAGGGGTGAGATCGGGGGTAATTGAAAAATCTGCAAACTATTCACCAGGGGTTTTGAGGGCCCCCAGCAGCGCATGGTCTATGCTGTATACATTTGTGTTTGCCTCAAGGTACACCTTGAGATACTTATTTCTTCCCTTCTGTATCAACCATTATACACAAAAGCATTATGGTGGTAAACCCAGGTTCTTTTCAGATTGCAAGAGAGACTGTCTGAAAAATCCCAAATCAGGAAAATCCTGATGAAAATAATCTTGAAATCAGGAAAAACCCAGACCAATCTCAGCCCTGAAACATTTGCCCAGTGCCAGAAAAGGCTGCGGGGAGGAGGGGGTACCAGCAAATTCTTCAACCTTGCAATTGTGCTTTGACCCAACCAAGCACGACCCGTTCATACATTTAACAGCGGAAATGAAAAAAAGATTTCTCAAATGAGTGTACACGTCCTCCATGGAACAAATAAGGACAGCTACAGTATGTGCTTTTACACGTCATCCGGCGTCAAGTGGTTAAATGTGCAGATGTTGTCCATTTTTCAATGATGCGCATTAGAAATGGTCTCTTGGTGGTGTCTTTCCCCTTAGTGGGTTACTGTTTTGTGAATGAACTCGACTCATTATGAACCTGTCTAGTATTATCAGCGTTCATTCGGTAGGCTTTAAAGTGTACTACTTGAGGAGCGAAGGCTGGGCAGGTTAGGTCCTGAATGATCCACACACGGATACAGAAGATTGAGAGCAGAGTATAAGTCATTAAATTATAATATGACATGAAGATACAAACTCATTTGATTTTAAGCTCGATCAGAAATTGGATGAAAAGGCAATGGAGGAGTGACGGTACCCGTGTTGTGATTAGCTAGAGGCTTAAACGGAGGTAAAAGAGATAAAATTCTGAGTTGATGCGGCGAGTGGCGAAATCAGAGTACCAAGTTAAGACAGGCAGGCGCTTGGAATTTATTCCCCCGAAGCTGCTTCAGGAAAGGCAGGTTGGAGGAGGGCTGGGATGGATGGAGATCTGGCAATGGGCGTCAGAGACGTGAGAGGATGCGCCTGTGAAGAGAGGACAGATGGAAAGACATAACAAGGGGGCTTCGTCTTACCGCAAAGTACTGGTTGCTGAAGTTGTTGGCGAGCCCGCTTGTGAGTGCCTGGTTCATGGCCTGAATCCTCTTCTGCTCCTTCTCTCTTATTGTGTCAGCGAACTTGACCACGAGCTTCGAGGAGCAACCCTGACAGTAACAACAGAAACATAGGCACCATGTAAATATCCACTCCAAATGTGGCAAGTGGTACATTGTACGTTCAGGTACATTCGTTTCAAAGAAAAGCCCTCGTTCGTCCAAAACACGTTTTCCACATGTTCACGTAGGTCCTTAAAAATGCATACAACTGGTGGCCCATGCTGTACTGGCCCATCCAGAGGATATGACCTACTAAGATAATGGTATCTTTTGTGCTTTGGGCAAAGGTGCCATCTTTTATGCCCTGTCATTTCCCCATTTCTCATCCAAGAATTCATCCCAGTTAGTATCGCATGACATTACCAGCAGGCATACATGTACATGCACTTGTTATCCTAAAGTCTGCAGCAGAAAATGCCTTGTGCAGTCTTTTACATGACTCTGCATGTAGGCAAGCATCTGGTCATGCAGCTAGATACAAAGCCACTAAACATGCTACACACAAGGATACATGTAACTGCAAATGTAATTAGGTATTCGGATAATCTATGTACGTCGATACAAATTCCGACACACTCCTTAAAAAAAAAAAAAAAAACTAAATCACTCAAAAAGCACACATCCCGACACAAGCCAACATGAATACAGCCTATACCATGACAGTGTTGGCTGATAATGACCAGTTCTTATCCAGGGCATAAAAGAGTGTGGAAGTTAAACATCGGACACCAACTCCGCTTCTTGAAGCGTACCCCCCCAGGAGACCAGCATGAAATGACACCCCACCAGATTGACACTGATCTGCTGAGGCACAACTATCTGGAATCACTCAGATTTTCTATGGCCCTTACCTGATTGGCACGATTCATTTCAGCTTTTTTTTTTTTAAAGTGCTAAACACGGGCTCTTCTAAATTGGCATTTTATAGAGGGGGGAGGGTTACTACATGTGCTCCGCAATGAACTCAGGAACCTTGTATCTAATTCGTCCATTCCATTACTCGGCTGGATTTAAGTCTCGGTACAATTCTCTTAAAAGCGGCAATCCCAATTGGCTGGCTGTGGTTTCAAAAAGCTTATTTGATTGCGCTGACATATGATATCAACAGCATACGCTCACAAATTCTTCTGGCCAATGTCCTGCACACCAGATGAATGATTTTATACAGAGTCTGGCGTACGTGTACATATATTCACCAGTATGCTACTCGTATTGGGCGATGGACTGGTACCCTGACCATTCAGTGGACTCTCAAACCTCCCATTCAATCCAATCAGTGAACCACTGCTCGGCAGACTTCAGGCCATCCCAACAGAGATGGCTACTCTGCGGGTGCTGCCTTTCCGAGTACAAAAAATTCCAGACATGAGGATTGCCCGCCCCAAGATTGCATGCCATCGGGCCAGCCATGATTGTCCTTGCATTTTTATTTAAAAAATGCGGCCGAAGTGTCATGGGACTGCGCTGACATAACGCACCTTCAAAGAAATGCATACCATCTTCTCTCCAAGGCAGATCAACAAGTACTGCCGCTGGAGCGTATTTCAGTCTAGTCAAATAATTTAGTGTCGCCAAAACATCCCTGGTTTACATGCTTAAATGCACTTTTCTACCAAAAAAAAACTTCCTTGAAAGAAATTTACCCTTCAAAAACTATAGGCGCCCCATAATCTGAAAATTCTTATTCCTTGTTTGTTGTACAAGATGAGCACAATCGCTGCTCACATCAATAAAAACATTTAACACAAAGAACCAAGAAAGTCTATTTACATGGACAGTGTCCGGTTGGACATAAACATAGGCACTGTGCTTTTTCAGGTCAGCTTCTTGACCTCTAGAAAATGAACAGACCTCTCTCTCACTTGGCCAAAGTTGTAATTTGTCCCGACCAGCAGCTGATTAACTACATGTACATGAATGGCCCAAGAGCAAAAAAAAAAAATTATAAAGAGTTAAACAACTGCATGCAGATATCCCGATGTAAAAAAATACCACTATTACACACTAACCAAAAGAAAGGCCTCTTTAAAAGGAATGACACAAATGGTCATTTTGACTCAACACTTGATACCAACTGAAGGTGATACTATACTTCTGCAATCTCTGACCCTCGGCACAAAAATCTGTGGCAGGCATCAATGAGAGAGGTCTTAAAGTGTAGACGGTTTTGGCAAGCATCTCCAATGCCTGATTGCGTTATTCAGGGGATTGTCTCATTTTCCCACCCTAATCCACAAAGTTCTTTTCCCCAAGGGAAAAATAAACACAAAATCAACAAACCAGCAAATAATTCCCGAGTATCAGTGAATAAAAAAAAAAAAAGACACACAAAATACAAATATATGCTTTGTTACCTACCTCCATTGTTGTGGACTGGTGTAGTGCGGCGATGGCGTTGAGGGCGCTCTGTCTTGTTGAAAATGTTACAAAGGCACAGCTTGCTGTTGGATACCAAATATCAATACGGCTTCATCATCAAAAACTGTACTGTCCACTACAATACTAACTACACACTTGCACTTTCTAACTACAGAAGATGTCATGAACTATTTAATGACTACAGCAACCCAAAATACATGTATACATATCAAAGCAGTCAGAGGGCCTAAAGCTTGGATCGTAGCCAAATTTTCCTCAAAGGCAACATGCCTTCCCCTTTGAGAAAACACTCTGAAACTTTTCATGTCGTAACTTGATAATCCTAAAAACTTGGCAACAATCTTTTCCTTAAACATTACTGTTACTGAAGAAATTCATAGTGAAGAATCACTTGCGACAAAATACCACAGTATTTAGTAATCTAGTGCACTGAACCTCTTTGACTTCGATGTCAACATTTTTATTGAAGCATTTGGGGTATATTTGGGGCTGAAGTAAGTAAAATAGGGCCACAATCACTGAAAACAGGTTTAGGAATTACGTATTGCCATTTACATGTACATGTACTACATGTAGTATTTTGTAGCTGAGGTCAGGTCAGGTCAGGTCAGGGTCAATATATTGTAATAAATGTCTTGCAATATTAATCTCAACATACATGTTCATGTATGTGTCAACATCTGCATTTTCTGACACCCTGGCTGGTTGAGATGTTTTGCTGGTTGAACTGCCACTGGCAACTTGGGGAAAAATTTCACCTGCCAGCGACTTAAAATTGAAGAGGACCTGAGCCAGTATGGCATGGAACATGAGGAAAACAGCCCCAGAGGGCTACATTTCATCCCCTGGAAATACCACCAGGTCTGCATGTCAACATGATTAAAGCAAATCTTTGGTGGCAAATACTTTCAAAATCACTGGTTTTTGCTATCAATACAGGTTTTTCACAATAGTTTGCCTCCATGAGTTTGTAACATGTTGTACAATCACAGTGCACGAAATCTGTTGACCCAATGCACGTTTGGAAAGGGTCGACAGATATCGCGCGCGGTGATTGGTCAATGCATTACAAACTCTTGGAGGGGCACTATTGTGAATCGCCCATATTACCAAATGTAAATTTCCGTGACCAAATATGTTGGTCTTAACGACACTGCCCTGAACAGTGAGCATATATTTTGTGAAGATACAATTTTTTTTTATGAAAAGAAGAAAAGAGAGAAAGCTGTCTTGAAAAACCACTTCGACAAATTTTACTGGTATATGAGCAGCTGATCTTTTCATGTCTTTTTCAACACCAACCAAACAAAAACTCAGCAAAAAACTTGTATGCTAGTATCAGCAGAGATTGTTGTATGTTGTGGGGGGAGAACAGATTTTTTTCTGTTTAAGCTTGAGTAAACAACATTTCAAATTTAAAATAGATTGGTTCTCGTAAACATTCCCTGTATCATCCGTGGCTTGTGACATTTTTACCAAATGACTTCTTTTGAGGCCTTGAAGTAGAGAACAAATTTCTACAGCTTCACTAGCTTTTTCCCTGAGCTGTGAGGATCTGCCAGTTTGATGAGAGATACCACAGATCTGTACTTGGCAATCACCAAGACTTCCCCTTGTGTTGTATATACGGGTTCAAGTGTACGAGCGACCAGACACTCGACTCCCAACGCTCACCTTTGCTCTTTTCGCTCTCCCGTAATATGTGGCATTCCTCGATTGTGCCATACGGCGAAAACATCACCCGGATGTCATTCTCTGTGGCGTTCTTGGATACCATGCCGACAAACAGCTTTCTGTCTTCAACTGTGGGCCAGAGAAAAGGTGATTTTTTGGCTAATATTTTTTGGCAATGATTAGAGGAGGATACGAGGCAAAAGAAATTCTTCATTGAGATGAAGTCTAATGTCGATGATGGAAAATTCATCTGTCAGTGGGAAGCGTCTTTCATGACGGCACTTTCTTCTTAATGTACTGTAGTCTATTCGTTGGCAACATCTGAAACAAAGATCCATCTTTGACTTTCAGATGTGAGGATTGAAAGATTACCGGGTGGACAGAGAGGAATTCACAATCAGCAAGACCGAGAACCCACCTGAGAGAAAATTATGCAGATATGGAATAAGAAGGGATACGGGTGAGGGAGGGATACGGGGGGTTTACAAGACAAAACAAACTACAAAACCAGCTCAGGCAAAGGCTTACCATTTCGAGATTCACTATCAGCTGGCCTCATCTGAATAGGATTCTTCATCTGGAAATATACAGGAGAACATGACCAAAAGTAGCTGTTAAACTGTCGTACATTTTCTGGAAGTTTCCTCACCGCATTCTGAACATTACATAATTACGGTATGGTTCAAAGAGGGACCACTCAGCAGTGCCTTCGGTTTATTTTCAATCTTGTTTTAACTTTACACCCCTACAAAGTCTGGCAATTTATTGTTTTCTTCGGGCAATAACAACATAAGCCAATGCACGATAGACTCCAGGAAGACGCACACTGGGGAACTTTAACTGCATCTAATTTTATGCAGAATCTCCATGTGTAAAAGCAGGCCTTGAGCTTTCCAGGGATTTTTTTCAGCTCCAATTCACATATTTGCCCACGAAAATTGTCTCCCGTGACTTGAGCCAAAGACTGAGTCATGCACGTGTGTTGAAATTTACACAAATGTCTGACTGCGGGTGTATAAATGTGTTCGGAGGCACATGCACCACGCACTCCAGTCTTTGGGCTGCTGTAACTAATTTAGTTTACAAGTTTGCTTAAAGAACAGCAAAACCTGCAGCTTGGCTCTCAGCAGGTGTTGGAGGGTTAAGGGGCGATTTCCCTCTTGGTCAAGAGCACATCATTTGGAAAAAATTTGTTGCGGCGGCTCGATGTCCTCCGCAAAATATAGAGGAATATTGAAACAGCTTGGTGTAATTCAAATCGGATGGATTTTAATTCAAATGCCTTGTGTTGAAGATCCTCCGTTAAAGATGAAGCAGTAACATTTCTGACACATGTACAATATACTTGTACCGGTAGGTATGACATTTCCCACATCAGGACTGGGATGATCCATCCTACTTGAATCTTCAAAGTGCATGTGTGACTGCATTTGTAAAGTTCCATTAAATGGAAGATAAGTTAGGCACAGACGTGGTTGGCTGTGTCTTGGGTGTGGCCAAACCATCCAACATGTATGTGTTAGTCCAACATGGGTTACCTGTATACCTGGTAGTGTGGGGTCCGGCCATTTTTTTCCCTCAATCATTTAACATGAATTAACAGCCCAGATATGTGAGCTCTACAGAAACAGTGAAAAATGTAGGGCTGTGCCGAATATCCAAATAACCTAATATTCCATCGCTTATCGAATATTTGAATATTATTTTCCAAATTTGAATATTTTGAAAATTTTCTTGTCTTAAATGAGGAAAACTGCACTATGGAGGCTCGTTTCAAGCAGATTCAAATGAAAAACGACAGGCATCTTACATATTAACAATGATTCAAAAAGTAAATTATTCATTTAACAATTTACAAGGAATACAAATTTTCAACAGGGCAAGAAGTATTGTTCATCTCTTAAATAATGCTATAAAATTGTGGCTAGAGATACATGTACTCCTAGATGTGAGAGGCTATAATATTAATTACAGTGCACAAGTGCGTGCATTATTGCAGTTGATTTTATATGGTTTGTTCATCAACAATCTGCTGGTTGGTACGACCGAATATTTGAATATTCAATTGAATTGAAGGTCAAATACTCCTATAGTGAATTATTCAATTTGACCCAGCCCTTGAAAAATGAAAATTGGCCTTTGCCATTCTCTTCTCTCCCTCTCCCCTCCTTCGGGGGGGAGGGGAGAATAGAATTAGAGGAAAAGAGGGTGTTTTGGTACATGTTTGTGAAAGTGAGAAAAAAAAGAGAAAAAATATGACCGAAAATCAGGATGAAATCGTGATTTAAATCTAACTGGTTACAGATGGGGGGGGACCAATACAAGTGTTGTATCATATTGTGGCGATTCCTTCTCCATGTTCATAACTGCACAAGGCCAGTGATCCAGGTCAGCATTCCTCAGCTGCAAATACTATTTCAAAGTAACGAGGTGCGCGCCTTTGTCGGGTCCAATTATTGACAGGGGCTTTGCTTACAGTCTTCCCTGAACGAAGGCACAAGCCACATTTCCTGTGCATAAAGGCCAGTCCAGATACTGGAGGATTTATGGTGTTTATTCTGTGAGATCGTGTGTACATATGAAGCGCAGTGTAACTTCAGAAATGATGGCCAAAAAGTAGGAAAGAGAGAAGGAAAACACATAGAAGTTTTTTTTTTAAAAAACAGGATGTAAGGAATCTTGGGTCATGGATAATGTGGACTTGGGCTCTGTGTATAAATGAATGAGGAAGACGACGCAGATCAGACTGACACAAATGCATAAACATACACTGTATGTACATGTGTACATGCATGCAGTTGGATGAGAAAGACGGACGGACAGTCCAACTAAACAGATGCTTCCCCCCCGCCCACTGTTCTTTTCGATGTCGTGGTCTCTAGAAAAAAAAAAAAAAAAAGACGACTCTTTCACGGCTGCCCAGGGGACACCTCGGGAATGAAATGAGACACCGACTTATTGACGATAAACCAGGCAATGATTGCGCCTTGTCAACAATCTGACAACGAAGAGTAAATAACCAGCAGGAAAAATACCCTCCATAGAAGGGGGGGAAGGCCAAAACGACCTCAGGCAATGGAAGGAAAAAAACAAACTGCACAGGAAACCGGCCATGTTTGGACTTCCACAATCGCTGAACTGTGTATTTGTTCAAATCAGAAGATTTGCATTGACCAGCAAGTTCAATTCATATGTGACGACCGAGGTTGGACAGTTATGAGTTTCCTGTGGGTTTGAAGTATCGGGAGGAAGGGAGTGAAAACATACATGTACAAGTGCAAACACTGTGCATGTATCATAGTGTGCACAAACATAATGGAAATTGACTAGGTGAATGAATTTGGGAACAATTTTCATGCACCTGTATCCTGGCATCCTGCCAATTTATACATTTGAAACATGTTACACATGTCGATAATGATTAGACGTATACATGATTGTACATGTACATGTATGAGAAGTCACATGTATGTACATGCTCACCTACCAAGTTAAGTACAGTACATGTAGAGATGTCTGTACCGGTTCATTTGATGCAAACATTTGATGCAGGCAAATGTAAATGAACGAGGACAGTGTGTCTATCGAAAGTTGATGAACCTGCTCAAATAAAGCTGTCAGCCGTCCATCTTCATTGAGGTTTGTGAAATACATCAGTTTGTTCTTCACATCTACTGCCACTCGTACGTAGTGTGGACCTCTGCAGAAAGAAGTCCACAAAATGAAGGGTGCGATGGCATTGTGTCGACTTGCACACGTCCACACAATGTTTTCCCCTCTCTGAAAAACAGTTTCAGAGGCATTTTGGGGTCAAGGTTATCCGTGGCAAAATAAAGAGTTCAGTCAATGACTGTTCAGTCAAGCATGTCCAAGAAATCATCATCAAAAATCCAGCTCGAAGGAGTTATCCTAGTTGGAGAAAGAGGAGCATTTTCCTTAACCACAGTGAGAACAAAGGAATGTCCACACTTTGTATGTAAAACAGGTATGGGTGTACCGGTACGTGCATGGTACACATACGTACAGTACATTACACATAGCAGTACAATGTACGATACAATGTGTAACAGTAACACATGTACAGTGTACATAAGATGATGTCCCCGTAGGGTACTGTACATGTAAAAACAACCAGATTGAGGGGAGACACGGGTTGAAAAATAGACCCAATAGAAGTTGTCTCCTTAATTTGAAATCCTGCATAACCTTGTTGGGTTTAGCATGGCTAGGGTTAATGCGACAAAGGCATACCAATGTGCAAGTACTGGTACACTGTGACGAACTCCATTTGCACCAGCAAAAACACAAAGAAAATGTCATTGATAGGGAGGCTGCATTCAAGACTGGTTAACTACCTCGCCAAAATTCATCAAGACGTGATCTATGATTATGATTGAGGATCTGCCTTAAAATTGGTTTGACATTTTACAGCTTTATCGGTGCCAACTGAGTCAGAGGAATCAGACGCAGCCTCTTCGGTATCTGTCGGACCCTTTCCAGAACTGAATCTCTGGCAAAAGGAATCGTGATTCAAATGCCAAATTTAAAATCGATTGCTGCATGGAATTGCCCAAGGTTTCCATCTCCACTCCTCTCAGCATGGGTAGAAAATGAGGCGTACATGTACACGAACCGCTGGCATCATGGCCGAATATTTCTTACCCTGGGGCATGCCGTTTCAAAACACGTCCAAAATGAATTGACAATTATGAATTTAACAGCCTTTCCACAGACAACGTACTGGAAATTCATAACCTACTTGCAGCTCTTGGAACATGAATTAACACTGTAATTCGCCGACTCATAATTTGGTACAAGTGTAAATTAAACATGACGTACATGTAAACTGTGCGCGAGTGTGGTACATACACACATATGTACATCAGTCCTTAAAGTTCAAGTCTGTGATTGATTGAGACTGTATAACCAGATGGGCATAGTGATTCAGTTTCCAACAACTTGTGTGCCAATTTTCTCCCTTGGGCATTCAAAATTCAACCCACTGTATCACAAGTTCCGACCCATAAACTGTGCATTGTGTGTGTGTTGCGAAAATTTGTCGGCATGTGTACTTGCCACACATACGGGAGGATTTGGTTATGATCATGGCTTTACTCTTCAGCATCGAGCCTTAGATTTTCAAGGTTGCAATTTACAAAATGCTTTTGAAAATGCAATCATCCATGTCACGAACACAGGTAAATGTATTTTGTGCATTAGAAATGTGTACAATAGCTGGAATTTAGGGCACAAATGGAAGCTCAGGTAACTGTAGAAAGAGCAACTGGTTACATTTTGAAAAACTGTAAAATGGGCTAGCAGCGAGCCACTTCGATATTTCAAAGACAAGGTCATTCCAACAACAAAGTAACGGTGCACGTGCAAGTCAGCGCATGGCCGCACAGAATGGGCAGACATCACGCGCACGTATTACTGTTCCTGACTGACCTCGGATGCAAGGCATTTTGGCTGTGGGCTGTGTGACAACGGAACTGGCTCACCATCTGTAGACAATGTTCCCCGTGATTCATTTTCTGCCCAGCAATTTGTGTATCATGCATCTCAACGGGCAAAATAGCCGGACTGAACTGGTCTGCCACACTAGGACCAACAAATTAATCCCAAACTTACAAATGTGGGTTGTTTTGCACTTGGAAATTGGTGCCACGCAATCAAAGCACGCGGTTTTGCAAACACCTGGCACATGGTCAACTCTATCTGTGATGCATACTGTGCCTCCCAACTAGGATGAAAGCATGGGATTGGCACTATACCAGCAACAATGTCCAACGTATAGCACTTGTACATAAACAGAACACGTAATGTAGATTCAAGTTTCAATGGCACCATAAAGTGTACACACTACAGTTTGCTAAATTTAATTAACTTTATTATATTCAATTTTCCAATTAAACACTTGTCACAACAAAATGTGACAGAGTAACAATAATTTCACGTATTACTGAATGTCCTTGTGTCTGTACACGTAGGTGAATTCCTGAATTTTTTGGTAGGCTAGGCAAGATATGCCCCTGGGGTATGAAATTATGTTCCTACATGTTTGTTTGAAAGGCACAGATGCACTTTACAAGTAACCAACCAACAATTGTTTTACAAGTAATCTGCATACTGTGCATTTTGCCGCAGTTTGAGGACTTAAAACCTTTTCTTCCTAGATGTTTAAGACTGTTGTCCGACTTCCTAGCATACTGCTTAGGGGTGTCTCCGCCACACCAATACACCTGAGACCCTTCGGCAGCACCCTTGCAACTATTTATAGAAGCTACAATACCAGCAGGTACACCTTAACAGGTTTGTGCATTAACTCATCAAACGCAGGGTCTTCGAATTCACTTGCACAGGCATGCCCAAGGTAAGCGTTCAAAAACAGGATTACTCTGCTTCTGCGTGGGTGATCGTTTGAGAAATCGGCGGGGGAAATTGGTGTGAACGGGCCAGGGGTGTTCCATGTACCTTCTCTGCAAAGTGCAAGGCCCCCAATCAAATATTCATTATTCTGCCTGCCCTGCATGCCAATCAAATTAAAGAATTTTCATTCTGCATGGACACATTTATTGCTTCCCTCCACTCCCCGAAGAAAAATACCGCACCACCTCGGCAAAATGTGGAAAATGTACCTGTAATGATGAAGAACACTCCAAATGGCATTACCATCTCTGTGAATTCAGTAGACAGATATTTCAGGAGACCCCAAGGAACAGAGTTTGATTTGTCTAAGATAAACACATCACAGTCTTAATGGAATTTGAAGATGTTCTCGTCGCGGGGGGGGGGAGGAGGGGAGGACGAGAGACACACACACACACAGAATCACGCAATGCCAGAAGGGACCGCCTCCAGGGTAATGAATAAAACATTATTTCCAAGGCAAGTACTAAAGAAATGCCACCTCGGGAACTCGAGAGTGTCATCTGCTGGTTAATTATGCCAGTGAAAATGTCAATTAGGAATCGACTGTACCTTAATTTCATAATGGCACTTCACAGACTGTTAGCGACAGCATTTTTTTAAAAACTACACGGCGAAACAGTGCAAGCTTACAAATAGTTGGAGAGGTACAGTTGATTGTGTCCGTATATATTCATGTTGGAGCTACCATAGTACCAATACTTGAAACTGTTACCCCCATGCAGGCAATTCAGGTGGAATGGAATACGTGCATATAAACGTATGCACGATACTGCCAACATCTGTACGTACATGTACATGTCGTTGGTGAGCATATCATGTTCCTGTATAAACCTTCAGAAACAAAATACTGATATCCTAAAATTTGCTGTCCTTCACATTTGAAGGAGGGTATCATGAACATTTTCAAGGGTAACATAAATGAAGTACCACTCTGAGCATGGTATAAACACACAGGATGAATACAAGGAATTACATGAATATGCTGTTTTAAAACATCACAAAAAAAGGTTTGGCACCATGAACATGACAGTAATGTACAGTTGTACATGTAAAGATAGTACGCGTACGTACATGTATAAACGAATATGCCACACAGATAAAGAAACCCAACACTCACAAACTTGTTCACAGAAATTTCGCACAACCAGTCCAGTGAGATAAGACAAACTGAAAAAGTCAGCGCTGCCATGAAATAGTGTGGGAGGACTGAATGACAACTTGGCGGTAGGTAGGGCAAGGAAGGGAGGGGGCAGTACCAAAAAAGCAATGGATTTTGCTTCGTCCATTTCAGCCGACCAATCTGAGTATCCTCGGCAATGAAAGGTCCCAGTCCAACGATCGGGTACACACACACACACACAAGTGTGTATTTGCCTGCAACTGGGGGCCCCCTATTGTTCAACTTTTTTAGAAGACCACCCATATGTTTTGTACACAGTTGTCAATCGGGGACCTTCTGTCAAGCGAGGACCTTATTGTCCTCTATTGTTAAGGGTCCCCAGTTGAATGCAGAAACAAACTCACACACACACACTGTACTGTGACACACTACTGCAATGCAAACACACTGTGTCACTGCCAGTCATCGCTCTATGTCTGTTAATAACAGGGTCATATTTTTTGTCTTTTCCTGTTGCTCATCTCATTTATCACTGCGATGCCAAGCTAAAAAAAAGTGTACTGTCTGGGTTTTATGAAGAGAGAGAGGAAGGGTTGTTTTCCAAGAGTTTTTCTAAGAACCGCTTTGCTGATTTTTTTGTGTCTTTGGGAACTATCATCCTGCCAGTACATGGACACGTATCTAACAAATTTTGACCATCCGTAACAGCTGCAAATTTTGTTAAGAAACACATAAAAAGAAGTAAAAGTACATTCTTTGCCGACAAATCAGAAAAAAAAAAGTTTGGTGAAAAACCAATTCTTGTTTTACTTGGCCTGATTTGTGGAGTCAGAGTTACTTACAAGGGGCATCCTGTGGGTATTATGGAGCTTTTTCTGAGCTTCTATGGCCGCCTGACGTGTGTAGTAAGTCACAAAACAACAGCCTGAAACATAGACAGAAACGACAACGGAAAAAAAAGGATATTTAATGACACGGCAATAAACAGGTCAACATGCGCACATCAACAGAGTGACACCCGTGAAGACAATGACATTTCAAGATGGTAACCAGACAGCCCCATTTGCACATTGCAGACTGAGAAAAAAAGCAGCCCTGCAAGGTACCAATTTATCTTACCTGCATGTACGTATAACAATTGATTGCCACGTACACATGTATTCATGTACTTATGGGCTTAGGTATAACAAAGTATATCCTCAGTTGGGATTACAGGTATAAGGTTAGTGTCTGCACCGCTGATTTTCATAGACGTAATTGGCATTGGGAATTGATGAGATTCGTGACATTAAATGAAACCATTAGCAAGCATGGAATGATGAAAATACCTTCCGAGGGGAAGGGGAATGATTCTTTCAAGGATGAAAAAAACTGGGCAATAATTTCAGGACAAGCCGATATGTTGCTTCCCTGGACTCCAAACCTGGGCATCTTACACAGTGTGATGGCAATTCACTTTTAAGGCACAGAGCGCGCGCGCACTGACAACCCTGCTGCTCTAAATCCCCTGAAAATCCAACACCTGGGTTTGGCAGTATGTTGATGGATATGGGGCTGTGCTGTCCACATGATCTCTCACACTTTTACTGAAGCAGATGAATATGACCACAAGTTCACTGCACAATGGGAGATCTGTGAGGATTCAGGATGATTTCCATCAGGAAAAAAAAAATGGGTCAGAACTACACATCAAGAGTCAGGGCACCATCCAACTAATGAAAACATAAAAGACACACTTTGTAAACAGTCCTTACGGCCTCTGGAGAAACTGACCTTTAAAAAAAAGAGTCAAAGTACTACACGTACATGTAACACTGACCCTCTTAATTTTAAACAGTCCGTGATGGTGTTTACAGAGGGAGATGACATGCATCTTAAGAAGAAAAAAAAAGAAAAAAAGAAAAAAAAAAACTGAAAAAAAGGGAAAAAACAGACCAGGGTTAATTTCCGAGGAAGGCATTATCTCCCATTTACGCTGACACTCCAGAGCTATCAACACAGAGAAAGATGAAACACTTCATCTGAAGGAGCTGGCCACGGTGTGCTGCAAGATAATGGCCGGCCACTTCGGCTAATTGAGTCGGTCGGGGAGCCGGCTTAGCAGTCAACAAGCGCACGCGCAAGGTACCGGTGCTACTCGAGACACTTCACGTGGGGTGGCAGGTCGGGAAAATGGGACTGGGGGGGGGGGAGAAGAGCATGGAATTGCATGCAGATGTCGCCGGCGTCCGACATTGTAAAGGTACCCCCCTGTACATACATGTACATGTATTGTTCTGTGCATGAAGAGTACCCCAGACATGTACAGAGTTAAACTTGTGCACTACTGGTAGGTACAGAGGGCTTCTCCCTAAATTTTTTTATGAGGATGAGTGGCTAAAACACCCCCCACAAAAAAAAAAAATCTGGGTGTGTCAAGTGCACACAAAATATTTTTGGTCATGCCGACCAAGCCAAAAATACCATTCACAGTACGTACGGAACTTGTAAGTTTTCCTCAGGTTAAACGTACTGTACATGTGTGGCTGCCTCTGGTCATCAGAAAGTCTGGCTATTTTTGCATTTGGCTATTAATGCTCAGCTTTCAGTTTTCTTCGCTTTTTCCGTTTTGTTTTCAGTGAAAGTGGCAACATTGACTAAAACAGGCCAAAGTGGTCACTGAAATTAGTCGTGTGGGTTGGTTTGGTAGTGACTTCCAGTCTGAAAATGCATGGAAAACCTTGCATCCACTCATTTGAATGGAATGTGGCCACAGAAAAAGAAAAGCAACATCCTGTTACAGAGGGCATTTCTTTGGCTCTAAGACAGGTACCGGTACCCCGGGGGGTAATTACACAAAACCACAGGGGAAATAAAGAGGTTGTTTATTTGTACAGCCCAGTAATAAGCAATGTCTGTAGTACTCTGATGAAAACCAAAAGGAAAATGGAGAATCTGTCTATCCTGTAAGTCCATCAGGCTAGGAGNGAAAACCACCCATTAATTCACACTGACGATCACTCCAGGAAAGAAATGCATGTACATCTATTTGAAGATATCGGTAATTGTTACTCATGATACTTTGGTCAATGCAGAGCCAGGAATTTCATTCAAATTGCTGTCTCGGATCCTAACTTCCCACATGCTGAGGCTAGCTGGTCTCTCCCTGCAGCCTCCAGTGCCCTCTCGGCTGTGCTGGATACCAACCGCATGTTCACTGTTCTCGAAGGCCTGGCACGGGCCGGGTTTCCAGAATTACGGCTATGACGTCCCCCATATAGACCACTCTCATTGTGCCTACAACTTGTAGGGGTGGACGAAATTGGCAGAAATATCACCTTGTGGTCGGTTTTCGGTTTTACGACCAATTTGTTCACAATGGACATTTGTCTCATTGATTTTAGATAGGGTTGTATTTTCATTTAGTATTTCGTGGTACATATATCATTTGTGAATTACTCTGTTACTTTTGTACCAATGGCCAACCACAGTTTTAGCAGCCACTTGTGGGAAACACACGACTGTCACATCAAAGGAGCAGACCCCATCTGTAAATGACAAAGACTTAGACACGACATGCACATGCAGACACAGTATGGAAGCTGCCTGACTTGCCAGGGCATCAAGCCCTGTCAAGTATTGTGGTCATGTAACTGCCAAGGCTCTCAAGCCATCCCCAACCAGCAAAAAATCCACCTGACCTAACAGCTCTGTAGTGGTCTCGTAAAACTGGTTCAGTCCAGTAAATTTTATGATCCACAGGACTGGTGGTCTGGTGACATTACTAATGAAATTGAAACTCTCCTAACATGTACATGTACATGTAATGGTACTTTATGGCCGATAGACAAAGGAAGAGGTTTGCAGTCCTTGTGTATTAAAATACGTTCACCCCTACTAATGGAATGTTAATGGCTGGATACGAATATCCAACTGCATGAATCAAAGATGGCTGCAACTGCTTTAAAGCCAGACTACACAATTATAAAGCGTGGAACAGACAGTTTAGACGTCCCTGCGCGAGAGTCCTGTGTATAGTAAATAGCTGCCCGCGAGAGTACACCGACTCTAACCCAGTGCTTTGCCCAGCAAGTCTGAATTAACATGAGCTAGGTGCACAACAAATCAATCAGTGTTAATAATGGAACTTATCGCGCCGGATTGACACGGTCGAATGTTGACATCCGCATCCGGGCCGCGTTTTTATGACAACCATGTCATAAAAGCCACTCTGCCCACAAGTCCTTTGGCCAGTTACATGCAAAGCACTTGTATTGCTTGCCCATTATGATAACAATTCCTGCTTCTGGTGTTAAAAACCTCGGTTTATGCACATTTCCTGTTATTTATTCTTGTCATGTCAAAGCTTCTCAGTGACCACAGTTATCCCTAACATTCTCAGATGTACAGGTACATGTCATACAGAATTACCAGTTGGAAGAAAAAAAAATCAATCTCCAATAATGAAATCACTGCCATATACACCGTAGATAAAAAATCACACATGGGCACCGTAGATTAGATAAGCAGGAGTATTTATTTTTCTCACTTGAGCTATGATACAAGTAAGCAACACTTAATATACTTACGTGTCAGTACATGTCCATCTGTGAACATACATGTATATGGTGCGTAAGAGTACATGTACAAGGCAACATGGCTGTGTACATGTACAGTACATGTACATAGCAATATAGCTGTGTACATGTACAAGGCAACATGGCTGTGTACATGTACATGTGATGAAGAGAAAGCGGTGGCACTTGCCAAAAACCATTGACAGTCAATATGGACGTGTACCACAAATGTACATGTACCAGTCACAGGTATTGCTGGGGTTGGGGAGAGTTGAAACTCATCAGCAGCAAACTGACAAACCATCAGCAGTGGAAAGAGGTCTTTTCTGAGGTCTTTTTAAAGAGCACCTCAAAGGAAAACATGTTTTCTCTGATTTATCAGTTCAAAAAAACATGGAAGCATCCTAATTGAACGCAGTGTCATTTGTCTTCAGAGCTCAACCATCAACAAGGGCTACATGCATTGTTTGGCATGCACAAGAGTTTATCCACTACGCTCACAAGGTGAGCTCACGTGAGGGTTCCTCTTGTTTTCTGTGTTTTCTCTGAACGACACGATCTACATTCAGAATTCGCATCTTGGCACAAATAGGAAAAAAAGCCCTTTTTAGTCTGTTATAGTTGAGCTCTGAAGACAATTCGATTTGGGTGCTTCCATTTTTATTTGAACAGCTAAAATCAGAGAAAACATCTTTTCCTTAGAGGTGCTCTTTAAGCCACTGGTGATTGTCATCCCCTTTCTGTTTTGGTTTATTTTTCATTCTCTTTTAAACCCTTTCGATTTTGAATTTTTTGTAGGGAGGGGAGAGGAGTGTGGAGACACTCCTCCTACTGTGACCCCTCCTGAATACATGTGCATGTCCGTGTAGTAGGCATGCACCTTGGACTTCGGGAAAAAAAAGAGAAAATCCCAATCTTCACAAGACTTTGTTCAATGTTTGGAATGGAAATCAGCCGATCCGAGGAAAAGCTGCATGCCTGATGTAGATAAGTCATTTCAGCAGGAATCTGAGCATCATCTTGCTGATCTGAGTCATCTCGCTGGGTGCCTTCATGTCAACATGCACAGTCCTGTGGAGGTCGCAAGAGGGAGGTGAAGGGGGGGGGGTCCGTGCAGCTGGGTGCAATGACCGTCATGATCAAGCACCTTTTGGGGCTTGACGCCGTCGACACAGAGATGCACTCTCACGAAACACGACCAGCCCTGACCCCCCCCATTCCATCTCTGACCCTCCCACTCCGCTCGCTGGGCACAGGAGTGCCAGTAATCTGAACCCTCTCACATTTAGACAGTTCCGAGCAGATGGAGAGAGAACGAGAGAGAAGAGACAATGTACACATTTTCCTTGAGCAAAATCCTTCGCAGCAA